ACATTATCAAATCTAGGTGAGTTTTAACCACTCTAGTAGGTTTAGGTTGCAGATAAAATAGTCTGAGTCTCATTCTTATAAAAATTTGTAAAATTTGGCTTTGGCTAGAGAAACCCCTTGTGGATTCTCAATACAAATTATTAAATAAAAATAAAGGCAAAACCTCACCTTAAAAAAAAAAAAAAAAAAAAAGAATTTGTTATATTCGCAAAGTGTTTACAATTCTCCCTGACGATCACTTGTACCTACGGCTAATGAAAACAGAAACTTGTTGAAGAAAAGTAGAAAAGACAACTACAAATAATGGTTTTTACAGAGGTCAAGGCTTTAACTTGATTTTCTATAGACTTCTCTGTATATTTAGCATGCAAGTTAAAAGCATTCTTGTATAAGATAACTGGCAAGAAGATGGTGCCCTTGTGTAAAAAATTTTAATAGATGCTCTGCTTCTGCTGATGAAGTTAAAGATAGTTGGTCTAAGAAGGACAACAAGTAAGTTTTCAATACACTCTTTACCGAAGTTTAAGGATAACCGCAAACTGAAACTTTATACCAAACTCTACTTTTTGCACTTTTCGAAATTTTCACCAAAAAGTGGGAAAAACGGCATACCCTCAACAAAAGATCGATACAGTAACAGCTGCCGAAAAAGAAAAGCCTCGTATACGTGTACATGTCTACTTTGAGATAAATAGTGGTAGATAATGTGATAATGTTTGAAGCATTGCAGAAGACCCGCCGACCTAGTTGGGATAGCATTGAAAGTTTTGACCTTGAAGCTCTACTTCAAGACCAGATGGTTTTTAAGATTTTTACATCCTGGATATAGACATAAATAACTAGCGTAGAGTTTAGTCTAGTTTATTTGTAGTACTATATAATTTTTACAATCCAGCACAGGTTTAATAGTGCTATCTTTGTTTCTTTTCTTTGTTTTCTTTTTTTTTCGTTATTTGTTTTATTTGGTTTTATTGGTTTAGGTGGACCAGAACTCGATGCCGTAGTATTTCCTCATTTTTATTTTGCCCTTTATATTTTTGTGTTTGTACTTCATGTTGGAAAAAGGAAAGCTAACTTTAATATGGTATGTAGCACCAGCCCATAACCAAAGGATAACCTCTAGTAAGTTAGGGGCCTGGAGAGAGGCTTGAAGTCTACTGAGGCAAGTCATACCTGATGAAAGCATGGGTATATCACTTTACGGGTAGATTAATTATAGCTATTATTAGAGAATGTAAATTTCTTAGTATAGTTTAATCTCAATAAAAAGTGGCAGGACAGCCGAATTATAAAAAAAAAAAGAATTTGTTATATTCGTGATAATATATAATTTTATACTAGTAAAATAAAGTTGTTAGATGATATAAGCTGTTCTAAATAGATAATATTTTTTAATTACAATTGTTTTTTAAATTGTAAATATAATTTGTATATATTGAAAAATTTTTCTATAAGTCTGTAAAGATCTTGAATAATATATGGTTAAAGATAGTTAATATATATATTGATAGCTAATTAGAGTGAATTAAGTAGTTATATAATTTTAAAAGTGGTTGTATTTTTGTTAGATCTATTAATTAGTGAATGAAGATATTGAAAGATGTTAGTTATAGACTAAAGATTATTTTGTAGTTGTTGAAGTTATATATAGATATTTAAGTCTATAAAGCCTTAATTATTTAAATAAATTAAAAAGTTGAAGATGTAGTATTGTAGTTAAATATCCTATATATTTTTAATACTATATATATTATAATTGAATAGTGTATTATTGGATGTAATAATAGGTAGTTTGGCTTTGTGTTTAGCTATAATTAGATATTGTAAAAGAATTGAATTACATATAGTTCTAGAAAGTATAATGTTATATATACAGTATTCTAATTAGTGTTAATAATATAAGCAGCTTGTTTGTTAGTTATATTTTTTGTTTTAAATATATTATAAAACTAAATATTTTTTGTTTGATAATTTAATTTCACAACTCTTTCTGACAATTACTTGGTTAACAATAATTTACCGAACTACAGTCAGAGATATAAGAAAGCAATATAGTGGACACAGCAATATTCTTAGTTTTGCACTAAGCAAACTTGTTGTCGACGAAGTCTACAATACGTAAAATACTAAGAAGCGGTTGTATAAGAATATTGAATGGGTTTGTGCTTTGAGTCAAGTTTTTCTTTCTTCGACGAACTCTCTTGCACGTTCAGCATCTAAACTAGAAGGTTTATTCTAGGAACAAGTAGAGCAAAGTCTCTAGGCAAGAATATCAAGTAGATACTTAGAAACTGGACTATACAACTGTAAAACTTACAAGAAGAACCTCATATATTCTTGTTGACCCTCCACTTTTTTTTCGGGGAACATTTTGTAAAAAAGTGGATGATTTAGCTTACTCTCCAAAAGATTAACATATTGTTTACTTATCAAATCGGTTGGCATTGTTTACTTTTTTCCTGTTACAACAAACATGTGGATACTTATAGAATGTGGATATATAAATTACGTGCCTTAGAAGTAGCAACCCAAACAAACAATGCTTCGAGACCAACTGTGCAAATTTCTGACTTCTCTATAGTGCCTGAAGCATGCTTTTGTTTATGCTTCTATGGGAGTTTAAACAAAAGAAGCTGGAGAGCTTATAGTGCTAGAGTATGGTGCTGATGTCAAAGAGCTTTTTTTCCTTTAGATTTTTGCTTAAATATACTAATTAGTTAAATTAGAGTAGAGACTAGTTTAGATAGTAGTATGTAATTTTTATAAAGCTCGACATAGGCTTATAATTGTGACCGTCCATTGTGGGTATATCCCATATTTTTTCTCTTTTTTTCGTTTTTCCCTTTACCTCATTATTTTCTTGTCTGTATCTTTTATCATATTCCTTTATACTTTATGTTTTTTTTGTAAAATATTTTTTTTTTCTTTCACTTCCCTACAAGAAGATATCATCAGATTGGCGATATCTTATTATAAAGCAGTAGTCGGACGAGCCCTCTGTCTAGGATATTATCTTAATTAATCGTACCTTTGTGGTGCAGCAGGTTACCTGTAGGTACGTGTAGATAATCAGTTAGGTTATGCGAGATAACCACAGGATGTCAGAGTTATAGTTTTATTGTTTACAGCTTTCACAAGAAGAACTTGAATAAACAGGAATCACTGGTGTGACTTTGTTTAAGTAAAAAAAAAAAAAAAGTTTAATTTGTGTAATATATTTGAATATAACTGTAAATCAGTATTTCAAAAACTTAAATGGATATGTGAGATTATATTTGATAAAGCTAATATTTGGAGTTTGGTTAGTATTTGATACTAGTACTGATTTTTGTGAATTTATTTTAATATTTGCTATTTTGTAAAATAAGAATACTATTTATATAATTTGTTGTAATTGTTCAATTAATTTAGTGAGCAGGATCCTGAAATATACATAGATAGGTCAGATTAGAGTTTGCTTATTTTTGATCTTTTTTGTACAGATTATTTTTATTTTTAGTAATTAGTTTGCTTATTTTTGTCTTTTTTCTTACAGATCTTTCTATATTTAGTAATTTTTACAAAACTTTACACCTCAATATATATTTTGGAGTTCTATGGTGCTCCAAGTCACTTCTCATCAAATGCACCAAATTCGGCTAGATATAATTCAAGTGCGCCAAATTTGCTCTGATATGTTTAGATGCGCCAAATTAGATTGGCTAGATGATAAAGACCAAGAGATTTCTATATAGATAACCTGATAAACATAAAATATAAGCGTTTTTTTCGAAAAGAGCTAGAAAAATTGATTTGATTTCTGAAATTTTACGTCACATAGATTAACGGCTACATATATTTGAGATTGCAGATATGCTGACAATGTTTTGTTAAGTGAATTCTGAGATCTCTCAATTATAGCTTAGCATAATACAAGTAATTGATTGTGGTTGGACTTAGTTAAATCATTTTATTATGACCAGTGTTGAAAGATCAAATATGCGGATCCAATCAAATTTCTTGATTTCTAAAATTAAAGAAATTTGCTTAGATCCGCAGATTCGAATTTTCAACACTAGTTATGGCACATTATTTATTTAAACTTTAATTGACACAGAATTAATTTACAAAATTAATATGGTGCCAAACTATTCGCTATAAAATTATAAACTGTAATATTATAATTGTAATACTGCATTACTTAAGGCCAAGATATAATATAATATAAGAGTAAAGATTAGAAATATATATGAGAGTATAATGGATAATTGTAAAGGACTCAATAAAAAGGTATAATGAAAGATGTGTAAGAACGCAATAAAGAAATGCATTAAAGAATAAAAAAAACCACAATAAGTATAATAATAAAAAAGAAAAGGATATTGATATAATTAGATTAGACATAAGAAAAATTATTTTATTTATATCGTCTAGTAAATTAAAATTAACTAACCAAATTAAATAAGGTCAATAGGTAATATAACATTATATAGGTGTAGTATTCCAGCGCTACAGCATTATAGCTTACTGCCTTATAGCCTTCGAGATTTTAAGCACAATTAATTATGGTATATATGATACTATAATTCAGTAATTATGATGATAGCTATATTCTAAACTACGATTCATAATCTAAGATTTTAATAAATAACTTTTATATTCACTATATCTATGCGAATAAAGAGAGATATTATGCAAATATAAATATCAAAACTTAATAACTTATTATAAATGCATTAATCAATAATTTTATTCTCATTAATTCAACATAAAAGAATTAAAAAGAATTTATGCGCTAAATTTACTAAATTTAAATTAGATACCTAACTTTATCAGTTAATAAATTTATTCTCTAAATTTACATAATATAACAAACTTAAAATAAGATATATCATGTAAAGATATTGTAAATGTTATTTGATTTATATTTAGCATATATATGATCATATAATATATTGAATATGATAAAGAAATCAGAATGCATCAAACAAAATCCTATAAGTTCTTTTGTGTATTTAATGATTTTAACTTGGAGGATTTAATAGATAAAACAAATTATAAGTAGTTTCTATTATTTAACTCACTTTATTTAGAATTTATTAAATCAATATCATTAGGTATACACCTGTAAGAACGATACTTATGTACAGCATATTCTGCTACCTGGCCAGTAAGTCCACGTCTATAAGCATCCATATAACGCCATGCCTTTTGTGCGAAATGACGTATAGTTCTAAGTGATACTGAATCAAGTGCTTCAGGTACAGTAGCTTGTAATCCTGACCATGAATAATCACAATGTTCACGTGAATAACGTTTTGCAGCACCCCAGTATCGTTCAATGAAATTCAGCTCACAGTGGAATTTAGGATAAAATATACAAACATGTCCTCGTTCAACAATAAGTTCTTTTAATGCTGATTTTTGCATCATAAAATCAGGCTGTGCAGACAAAAGGTGACGCGCACAACAATTAGGCGCACTTGGATCATAATAGCTATTTTCATATTTTAGCCTCAGACCATTAGTAGGCCATAAGTTACGCTCAAGAAGCACTTGACGAATACCTTTTGGCTGATCATGAAAAATATAATTATCGTAATCAGGGGGGAGGTTCTTGAGAAAAATCATCGGTTGGGTAACTCGTTCATTTTGTGCATTGATAAACCAGCTATCACGTAATCTTGACTGTTTACCACCGGGATAAAGGTTCATATGTTTAGTACATAACGCATCACTTGCAAAAGCACTATGATTGGTGCTATTGTCAAATGCAAACACACCAACGCAATTTGGATGAGTTGCTTCGAAAATAGGAATAGCTTTATTAGCCACTTGTGTAAGCAAATCAGAAGCATTCCACCAACCATCATCATTTTTTCTAGGTTTGATAATTACCCGGGCTTCTTGTGGAAATGTTGGTGGCAAGTTTAATTCACTTATTTCTGTAAAAGTAATTGTAAGGTGACCACGAGTCTCAGTTAAAAATTCTAAAATCATAAGAGCTTTACCCATTCCCTTTTTACGTAGTGGCGGCATACCAAGGGGGCCCATACAGAGGGACAACCATCATTAGCATAGAATGTACACTCATCATGAGTGACAAAAATGTGAATTCTTTGCTCTTTACTTATTTCAGGATTAATGGTTATGTCTATATTTTCGTCAACAAATTGTGGCATTAAAGATTCAAAGTTTTTCATCTTTTTAAGAAATACTGAGCGATATTGTACAACATCAGGACGTTCGTGTCCATCATAGTAAACACCTTGTTGATGCTGTTGATATACAAGACCAAGACGGCGAAACCAAGTTCGAGCCGTTTCTAACGAAATTGAAGTGCAGGAGCTAGTAAGATGTGGCAAGATATTGTCCTGAATATATTGTTGAAATTTTTCAGCAGTTATTCTTTCACCTATAGTACGAATATAACGTAAGCAAGAACTTTGTATGTCCTCATCATCAATAAGAGTTTGTGTATATTTTTGTTGTCCTTGTCTATATACAGGTAAGGCCCCAGTTATTATCCAACTCTTTGACCACTCACGAATACGACGTGCCATCCATGGACCACGTTGAAAAACTTGTTGTGATATTTCAAAGCTTAATTCTATACGTGATTGTAACTCTTCATGAGAAAAAATTGCATTAAGGTATTTATGTACAGCCAGAAGACGAAGATACATAAGTGTTCATATTTTTTGTATCCTTAAGTCTATTATTTAATATATTTAATTGTTCTGAAATAGAATTATTATTTGCTACGTCTAAATCACTCGTATCAGAATCTGACATTTCATATTTAATTTCAAATTTTTGTTTGGATTTAAAAAAATTATCCAAACTCATTGATCCTTGTGCTGCCTCCCGTAATTCTTTATTTTTACGTTGCTGAGTACGTTTTGAACCACCAAAATAATATGGTAACCGACCACCAGACGCTTTATTGTCCCATCGAAGATCATAAAAAGAACTATTTTCATATATCAACTGCTTAGCTTCTTCTTCATTAAGTTCTGTCTTTTCATTATCAAAATTTGCCTCATTACTATTCTCTAATTCATAAATTAGAAGTTCTGGATCACTATATTCTGAATTATTATATTCAGAATCACTATATTCAGAATCGCTATTTTCTGCAACTGTGGTTGTTGAAAATCTTCCACCATTATTTCTATTTTGTGTAAGTAAACGTTTTTTTGCAGCATTTTTAAGTTTTGATTTTGGCATTATCGATATTTAATATAATAAGATAATATCGTGATGACAAGTTAAGAATATGGCTTTAACAAAAAATGTTACTTTATATTAAGTTTCCACAATATATGATGTCACCGATATTGTTTGAAAATAATATTGCCTATGTATTAAAATTTATAAATTTCATAAATTTGAATTAGTTGTTTAAAACTTTAATAAAAGGAAACTTATGAATAATTTAATGAATTTTACCTTATTGAACTCGACCTCAAAGAATATAAACTATTATCAGGCATAGCTTTTTTTTTTTATCAGTTCTTGAAACAAATTAAAGCAGCAAACTATCATAACTGCAAAATTAACTTTAGTGGTTAATAATATGAAAATTTAATAATCGTTTTGCATGTTTCTTTTACTTATTAATGTAATTATACATACACATAATACAGCTGCACTTCTATTTTATATTATCGATAATGAGATGAGTAATATACGATAGAAAATTATTAATATGTGAAACATTCAGATGAGTTGAGTTAAAATTTATATTCTTACGCTAAAGAAATACTAGCGTTACAATAATGCAATATTGAGGAATAAAACTTACAAGCTTTTTATTAAATAACCTTTTTATATGTAGAGAATATATTAAGTTAACTTGAACTGTTATGTATGATAATATATTTAATTTTGGTTAAATGGTTTTACATTTTCACTAATATGCATTATTTTATGTATCGGCAGGTCTGTCTTCAATGTCTTCAATGAAACCGGGACCAGATGGTAAAAAACATACTATAGCAGAGTCTAAGCCCACCAGAAGAATCACACTTAGCAGAATTTAGACGTATTCCTTCGCAGTGCTAATGCCTTCTTTATAACAAGATCTGAGATTACATTGTTCATTAAGATGACCAATGACGTGAGGTAATTAATGTCTTGGCACTTAATATCATTTAATTGCACTTGCTTTTACACTCCGTAATTCTCCTCAAACACCTGACCACACCTTACTTAACAACCTCTCACGCCTTCTATGCACAAAGTACTGCGACGTTATTGTAAGACACAGGTTGGTTACTAAAGAATAATCGAAAGTATGGGTTCGATCTTATTGAACCTCTTATTTATTTAATTTTCACTTGATTACATCACTGATTTAGCACAATAGACTTCTAAATTCCATTGTGAGTCTAATAATAGCAATAGACTTTAAGATTACATAACGTTATCAAACATTATTACACTGATTCTGTATACTAATTATGATTTACCTCCGCACAACATAACCCTTGAAATACTATTCAAACTAATTCGATTAATTAACGTTATAATTTGGTCTTATAAGAGATAAAAATGAACCAACTTTTTGTCTTCATGCCAATTTAATGTAAATCACATATATGTAATTAATATAATGCCAATTTTGCATAGATTATATATAGTAACATGGCGCCAATTTTATGAATTATATAATAAGTTGTGTAAATTTTCTAAACTTTAACTGCTTATAACTTTGGTATTTAGGCTTTTTAAAAAAATTTAACCGATAAATATGATAGAGTTGCTTAAAAACAATAGTTATTATCGGTTATTTTTTTTAATAATATTGTAAATTTCATAGTTATAAGATTTTAAAAATGTAATTATAATTTGATGAGAAGTGACTTGGAGCACCATAGTAAGCTACAAGATATTATTTATATATACTAATATAAATATAGAGATTGATATATTTTAGTATTTAATAAGATTAAATTAGAATAGATATCTCACTCTAAAGAAGAAATAGAACATATCACCTCAACTGCCAAGTCCTTTTATCAAATAGCTAACCTTCAAGTCAATCCTAATAAATCTGTATTTGCTACAAATTCTAAGCCTATCACTATATTATTTATTAATTCAACATTAAAGTCAATACCTATTAATGAATCCTTTAAATATCTTGGTTGCTGGTTTACATTAAGTAACAAGCAATCAGAATAAATTAAACGAATACAACAAGAAACATACCAACTAACTTACATTGAAAACACCAAAAAAATTACTGACAAATAAATAATTTATATCATTAATACCGTCATTATTCCAACTTTAGAATATAGACTACACAATATAGTACTTTCCCGTACTGTATGTAATAATATTCTAGCTAAATATCTCATAGTTGCTAAACACAAATCACACCTCTCAAGATCCATTCCAAATAGCACTATATTTAATCCATATCTATATAATATCCGAAACATATGGGATATTCAATTACAACATCATACTTCTAACTTTCTTATATGTATTAATGATCTTAACTCATTAGGCATCACAACTCGTATCAGGCTTCAACAACTTCAGAATAATCTATGGTCTAGCACTAATATTCTGCAACACCCTAATCCTATAATTGATGGACCCAATAAATTTTCACTTAACAACAAAATTATATAACTTTTTATTCATCTTCGTATACATATTACAGCTAATTCCAATTTTTCATGGCCTCACACTATTTAATACAATCTACAACCTCTAGAAACAATTCTCAACAAACATCCTAAATATATTACTTTTAAATAACAACTTAGAAAGCACAAGATTCTCTATCTGGAGCAGCTTTGCTCTGCAGATAACATAAACTTATTAGCATAGATATATATATCACCCAGACTTAGACAGATACCCAAAGGTAAACTACCTTTGTGGTTTAGCACTTTAGAAGATATAGTTCTCGCAGATAAACACAATCATACACTACTTGACTAGTATCAACCTACAGGAATCAATATCTTTGCTATCAGCTCATACTTTATTCCTAAGAGATCTAAGCCTTGGATTATTACTATTAATGATGAGGAAATTATTTTTAGAAAAATTCGCAAACAATACTCTAATACTACAGAAGTTTCAATTACACATTAGCAAGCAGATTTTGATTTCAACAATACTAGCTATTATCCATTACCTCCTATTAGTTGCAAACCTTGTTCAGGATGCTATCTCAACTCTAATAGAATAAAATCAACTTGTACTCTAGAAATATCTACAACTACATCTGCTAAATTTTTTGGCAGAACAATACATGATCAACTCAAATTTAATGCTAATTACATGAACCTAATCTTCTCTACTGCTATCAAACACCCAGCACCAAATCTTGTTCTACCCACATCTCTTATTATTCCAGTACTGGACTCAATTATAACATCGATCTTTCATCCAGAAGAACTAACAACCAAACTTGTAGAAATATCAACTAACAACTTAAACTCCAGATTATTTAATTTCTATACTGATGGATCTGTCATCAACATTGGTACTGAACACTGTACAATGGGTATAGGTTGGATCCAAGTTGATAATAATAATCAAATTAGTTCTAAATTTAACGCTCAAATTAAGTTCTGGCCATCTTCATATAAAGCAGAACTCTTTTCTATTTTATCAGCCATCGCTACAACACCCCGTAATTCTACAATTAATATTTACACAGATTCACAATCTATTATTTTCAAATACTATAAACTTACATCTCTTACTTTTAATCCTCACAAGCTTCTTAAATTTAATGCATAGCCACTATAGCATACATTTCTCAATATAATGAAATCCTACCAACTACAAGTAACTTTTCATAAAGTCCAGCCCATACAGATAATACTTTTAATAACTTAGCAGACTCTTTAGCTAAACAACATATAATTAGCCCATATCTTAACTTTAACTATATTAATATTTATAATCCATATCATATTTTACAGTGGGAAGAAGAGAAATTTTTTGTAGAACAAGCTACTCAACCTTTTATTAAAACTATTTGTAAAGCTCATATTTTGGCAATGTGGTCATTTCAACAACGTAATCAAGAATAGTCTCAAGTCAACCATAGAATTGACTAGAGATCAACATAGCTATACTTCAACCATAATTACAAACCTACTCATAATATTACAAACTTTAAGCTCAATCAACTAAAATCATTTAAAATCAAAATACTGCTTCAAGAACTATCTACCCATTCACTTTATCATTACCTCTATCCTACTACCTTTCAGCACACTAGCTGCTTTTATTGTGGAGCATTAGACTCTTTTTTATACTGGCTCAGCTGCTCCAATCCAACATCACTTCAGCATATAATCAATACTTGGATTAACCACTACTTTAACTCTATCGAACTAGATTTAACACCTGATCAAAAAACTGATCTAATTTACCAAATACAATAACATAAGGCATTCAATCTCGTAGCAGTTCACCAATCTTCATACTATCTAGAACTTATTCTCAAAGATCTAATCCCAAATTTTCTAATTCGAACAGTTCAAAACTTCCATATACCATATAAACAAGCATTCTATATGATTACTGAACTATTACTTAAAATTAACGAACAAGTATACGAACAACTCTGAAAGCCTTATTGCACTAATTTCTCTAACTGGAGGAAACAGCAACAAATAACATATCCTTACTCCAAACCTAGAGATACACCATTAACTATCAATAGAACTAATTGTCCACATACAAATTATACTTACTCTTGTATATGTAGAACAGCAGACCAATTACATTCCCACTTAGGTAATTGCTCTTCTGTAGGCCAGGCTCATAGAAAAATCAGTATCTGGTATATACACTAGATTAAATATAGTATCATATTAAATTTTATTCTATCTATAATAATCTAGATGAGTCTTTGACCACTCTAGTAGGTTTAGATTTCAGATAAATATGTCTAAGCTTTTATTCTTGCATGTAATTTTTAATTTTATTTATACTTGTACAAATAGTAGTACTTCTATATAGTTTTTATGTAGTTACTATTCTTAAAATTATTAATAAAGATACGAGCAAGGCCTCACCTTAATACTAAAAAAAAAAAGATTAAATTAAATAATCTATTCAACTATAGATGAGTATCTAGTATATTTTTATTGATATAAGTAATAAGAGAATTATGGTAAATATACCAAAGAAGAGGTGTTATTATCTCTTTAATCAATTCCATCTTGTATATTATATTGAGATATTAATCATGATAATTTAATTAGTATAGTTTTATAGCAGTTTATAATAATTTGTATAAGTTGAATAGGCATATTTAGATATTGTAAGGCTTTGTTAAGAAGGTGTATATTGACTAAATTATATATCTTGCTTATATTTTGTAATAAAATCTAAGTCTGTTTCTTTATACATTTGATATCTTCTAAAAAGTTGTTAGTATATGTATTAGGTTGTTAGTGAAGTTGTCTCTTTGTATTTATTAAGTATACTGTTAATTATTTTAGTTAGTTGTAATAATAGTTAATTATATCTTTTATCTATAGCCTTATTTATATATTTTTGTAGATGTTGTATATCTTCTAAGTTTTTGGCATTATAATATGTTTTTTAGTATATTTTTGTGTCTTGAAGTCATGTTGTTAGTTCTTCTTATTAGGTAAATAGATTGTTAATAAAAAAATTGTGAATTATATTAATATGATTAATTGTATTACAGATATTGTTAGATAGATAAATATTATAATATATCCAATAGTTTTAAGATCTTTATAAAGTTGTGTTGCTTTAAGTATAAAGGTATGAAACAAATATTTAATAGTATATCTAATTAATTATCAAATAAATATTACTAGTATACAGCCTATTTTTTTAAAAATGTCTCTGATGAAATTAAAACTTTAAATCTGCTATTTAGAAAGTGATAACTTAACCACTACTTTAAGTCACCACACCTTTTATTTACAGAATTAAAATAAATATATTCTATATCTATTTTATATCTATTAGATATAATAATATATAGATTATCTTACATATATCTATGTATTAACTATATATATTCTATAAATTTGAGTATATATATAGTATATATGTAGTGTATATATAGTATACATATAGTATATTTTATATTATTCTTATATATTATGATAAAATTTATTAAAAACTAACAAACTTTAGCAAATTTCAAAGATACGAGTGTTAAGTAAAAGATTTTTAATTTAAAGAAAATAAAAAAAAGATAAAATTAAAATAAAATTTAAATTTAATAATCTTCAAAATATTATAAAGAGTTAACAATAAGCAATTATATTTAGGATTAAACTTATTATCTAGTTTGTATAGGTCAGGTTAGGGATGCATCGGTTCTGAAAAAGACTGATCCAGGACTGGTCCCAGACCAGAACTGATAAGGACCGTGAAACTGTTAAAGTACTGGTTCTGGACCGGTCTTGTTGTTAACAAATTGTAATATTTGTATCACCCAATCAAATTGCTTGATCAGGTGTAATACAAATCATATGATGTTGTTTATATCCAACATTAAGTAATTATATCATTTTTAACCAATAAAATCTAATGCATTTAAGATATGATGTAGCCATTGAAAGACTGATTTGGGACCGAGAATGGACTGGACTGATACTGAAAATACTATGATAATGGTCCCACTAGAACTAGGACCGGACCAAATCAGACCGATGTATCCCTAGGTCAGGTATAGCAAGTACTTGCCCTATATAAAAATTATTAAACTTTAGAACTTAAAAATATCTTTAGATATAACTAGAAGAAAGAAAGTACTAATAACAGACTGTTGATAGCTATATATGATTTTTAAATCTTAATAATATAAAGCTAGTATTTACCAAAATATTATTTTTGAAGACAGTCTTTACTTTATATTAACTTTAGAATTTAGAAATATCTTTAGATATAACTAAAAGAAAAAAAGTACTAATAACAGACTGTTGATAGCTATATATGATTTTTAAATCTTAATAATATAAAGATAGTATTTGCCAAAATACTATTTCTGAAGACAGTCTTCACTTTATATTATTTTCAAGAAAAAATAAAATTTATTAAAGATAAAAACCTTTTTTTTAAATATGACTTTAAGTTTAGAATCATTAATATTTACCTACCTTGTAATAGTTCTCAACTCCATTTACAAACCCAAAACACTGTTATTTAATAGATTCAACAAGCTATTTCCTTAAATATCTAATCTATAGTTATGGGAGATTTTAATGCTTCTAATGACAATACACAATCTTCATCTATCAAATACAAGCTTCTTCATTTTCTTCAATACAACAACTTATATAACTTGGCAGTTCATATACAATCTACAAATACTATATAGCACAATAGCAGACATAGTAGTAGTTGCATCAGCTGCATCTGGTCTTATTATCCTGTTCTCCGCTACTTAACCACATTTTATTTTGAGGATACTGACACTTGTACCAAAGTAACCACAAAATCTTAATATCTTCTTGGTCTTTCCTATATGCACTTATAGGCAAACATCAACATTCAACCAAAACCAAAAGAAGAATTTTCCAATACAAAAATATGAATGAAAAACAATGATTAAACTACTCAGAACAAATCTCATCTAACCTCCAAACTAACAACACTCCTCATACACCTAATACTACAGAATCTCTAGAATCTATATAGCACAAAATCCAAACTAGTACTATTACAACAGCACTTCAACATATTCTTAACAAAAAATTTGCAGTTTGTAACTTCTAATACATTTTCTCAGCCAAAGCATCTAAGCTTCATTATAATCTTAAAAAACTCAGCAACATTATTAGACAGATTAAACATTCCTTTAGAAACTTATCTTCCATCTCCATCCACCACAATTCTACTATAAACTATTTCAATTTACAACATCAACTCCACATCCCTAATATATCACCTAACCATTCAACTTTATCAGAATAGATAAATACAGTAAACAATGAATAGAAAGCACTCTATCATGCTTGCAACATCAAAAATATTAAAGAAATCAAACAACAAATCGATAAAAATATTACCAAATGATGCAACAAACTCTAATCTAATCCCACATTCATGATTAATAATATACTTAACTGATACAAAGACCCTGTCAGATTTGATAACATCAAATCTGATCATAATGTAATTACAGACTCCAAGGAAATTAAATCTCATATACAAGAACATTTTAATCAATGGACTACATATAAAGCAATCAATAAAAATATATACAATACTACCTGGCTTACGATCTATAAATTGCAACTAAATTTTAATCGGCTATAAACTAAATCATTATTTTTTTTAAGAACTAGTATAAGAAACAAGGTTTCTTGTATTAGTAAAAAAGAAAAAGCTCTAAAAATAATCTTTAGTTTATTAAAGTAGCTTTTTACAGAAACTTTAAAGCTAGCAACAAAAATAAGGCCTTTGAAAATTTTTAGAAAATTTTCGGAAATTTTGAAAAAATTGGCTAGACCCTGAAAATCTGATCTTAGTGACGCATAAATAACAATAACAAAACAAACACGTAAGATCGGATAACCAAACAACAAAAGTAGATCACGTTATTTTTTAGATACAACAAAACAACAAAACAACAAACAATTCACGTGACAAATAGCAACAACAAAACAAACAACAAATGTGACTAATACTTGCAAGTTATTGTAGACTCTTATTGAAGAAAGTATTACA